GGGGTCAATATTATAGGATCTTACTGTTGATTTGGTACAAATGCGCACTAGTGCTTCTGAGTAAAACACTATCACTATTAAACATCGGCAGATTTACCTTGTAGTAATAGTTTATTTACCAAAAAAAGTCTTGACAGGCAAATTTAGATGCAAAATGATGGTTTAGGGGTCAATATTATAGGATGATAGAGTTAGATTTGGTTCTGATGTGCATTAGTGCTTCAGAGTAAAATATAATGATTATTACACATTGCCTAACTTACAGAAGACCACCTTGTAGTGATATTCTATCTACCAAAAAAGTCTTGACAGGCATATTTAGGTGAAAAATTATGGTTTAGGGATTAATATTATAGGATTGTATTGTTAGATTTGGTTTAAATGTGCACTAGTGCTGAGTATAACATAATGACTATTACACATCGTCACATTTACAGAAGACCACCTTGTTGTGATAGTTTATCTACCGAAAAAGTCTTCACAGGCAAATTTGGATCAATAATGATGGTTTAGGGGTCAATATTATAGGATCGTATTGTTAAATTTGGTTCTGATGTGCACTAGTGCTTCTGAGTTCAATTTAATGACTATTACACATCGTCTGACTTACAGAAGACCACCTGTTAGTAATAGTTTATCCAAAAGTATTGACAGGATTATTTAGGACAAGAATAAAGGTTTAGGGATTAATGTTATAGGATCTTATTGTTAGATTTGGTTCAAATGCGCATTAGTGCTTCTGAGTATAACATAATCACTATTACACATCGTCACATTTACAGAAGACCACCTTGTAGTGATAGTTTATCTACCGAAAAAGTCTTGACAGGATTATTTAGGACAAGAATGATGGTTTAGGGATCAATATTAGAGGATCTGAAAAAATATTATAGGATCATATTGTTAGATTTGGTTCAAATGTGCACTAGTGCTTCTGAGTAAAACATAATGACTATTACACATCATCACATTTACAGAAGACCACCTTGTAGTGATAGTTTATCTACTGAAAAAGTCTTGACATGATTATTGAGGACAAGAATGATGGTTTAGGGATCAATATAATAGGATCTTATTGTTATATTTAGTTCAAATGTGCACTAGTGCTTCTGAGTAAGACATAATCACCACTACACATCATTTGATTTACAGAAGACCACCTTGTAGTAATAGTTTATCTACTTAAAAGTCTTGACAGGCATATTTAGGGGAAAAAAATGATGGTTTAGGGGTCAATATTATAGGATCCTATTGTTATACTTGGTTCAAATGTGCACTAGTGCTTCTGGGTAAAACATAATGACTATTAAACAGTCTGGTTTACAGAAGACCACCTTGTAGTGATCATCTACTGAAGAGTTTATCTAAAGAAAAAGTATTAACAGGCTTATTAATGACAAGAATGATGGTTTAACAATCACAGTTGATACTCGGAAATACTAATTAAACTATTATAAATTATTTATTATTTGCCACCTAGCATTCAAAATACCTTGCTTACATCCTTTTATGTTTTTATTAGTACAAATCTGAATGAATGAGATTGTTTAGTTTTTGCATTTGGGCATGCCTGATGTTATTCATTCCTCTACCTCTTTGTGCAAATGTAAATAAAAGCTGAAAAATATGTTTGTTTTTCCACGATGCCTCTTGTAGGGCTGGGTGATTAATCGAAAAAAATAATCGAAATCGACATTCACAACCTATAATCAATCTAATTTACCCTGGTTGATTTGTTTGATTATTTTCCTTACCATGAGCGGTCATGTGACTCTACTTTGTTATGGCTGATTTATACTTCTGCATCGAGCGCACGCGTAAAGTTCAGCGCAGCCTTCGCGCTTTCGCATACACGCACACCTCTTAAAAATGTAACTATACGTTTCGACCACGCATAGCGCAAGCTCTGTGATTGGTCCATTTGGTAGTGCTGACAGCAGCGAGCTATTGGAGTGTTTTAAAGCATTTGAGTCCCGTGGGGTAACTCAAGATGAAACTGTTGTTTTGTGTTTACCGATAAAAGTTGTTGCCCGTCCACCAGTTCCTGTCTCTAAATGAGCCAGCTTTAGCTTCTTGTACATTAAGGTAGCATTCGGAAAAAACAAAACACCCGCAAAGAAACTCGACATGGAGGAACATAAAGACCCGCTGCCAGCTAGTGTTTCGGAAGTGTTATTGCAGAGCAACACAAACAACATGCAAGGCAAGCGCCGAGGGTCCCCGGTGATCACTCGATGCGAAAGTACAAAATCAGCCTTTAAAGTCTGAGGCTGATTTATACTTCTGCTGCCAGTTTGCAGCCACATCTGATCTCATCGTAGGATGATGGACCCATTCTTGAGCCTTACTTTGCACCAGAGATGCCTTGAGGCGGCAAATTTTCCATTACATTAAAATGATTATTTACATTAAAATATTTGTTTACAGAAGATGCAAGAAATGCACTGTTAAATATATAATATACAGCATATACAAGAGTTATTTTATTTAGAAGAGATACTGCTTATTTTCTACTTTTAATATGAAAATAAACTGAGGGCAAAAAATAAATGAATGAATGAATGAATGAATGAATGAATGAATGAACAAATAAATTAACGTTCATTAATCGTAATCAAGTTAAAATGTTTAATAAATCCAGATTTTGATTTTATTTGCACAGGCCGAGCCTCTTGTACATTGTCGTATTATCTTTTAAGGGTAACTTAGTTAAAATTTGTCAGGGGTGTAAATAACTTTGGGTTTGACTCTATATACTTCTTTTATTTTTACTAAATGTATTTAAAGTAGAAAATTTACTTGCACTTAATATGGATATCCATTTATATAAAACCACTTGTTTTATTTATTTAATTTGATGCAGACAGTTTTGCCTTGACCCATTGGTGGAATAAACAATAATAATTCTTTAAAAAATCAAACTAGATACCTAAAATCAAACTAGATACCTATAATAACAATAATAACGAGGATTAGGTTGTGTAAAAGGTTTTCTTTGACATTCTAAACTCACAGCAGTGACCGTTTGCTAAAAACAAATGCAAATGTTCTAACAGTAAGCACATAACATACCAGCAGAAACATTGGTGGTTGTATTGCTGTCAAAAAATATGCAAATTATTTTGCATCTTTGCTTTGTCCTCATAATTTGTAGCCATAACTCGTATGTATAAATTGAAGGCATTGAAATCTTTTTTTTTAAATGCTAAGTGCTGTTTAACAGAGCAAAGCATTTTCCAAAGTATTTTTAAAGTCAGTATTATTCAGGCCTCTTAAGAAGTTTGTGCAATAAATGTAAAATTTCCAAAGGTACACTCATTCTGGGCAAGCCATAAAATTTTTTCAATTTTGGCAAAACATTTTTAAATTTAAATCTGAAGTGTATAAAAGCTGAAATTGGGCATCTTTCAAGACACCTCAGAAATAGGTGACAAATATATATTTATCACAGGCAGTATATTCGAATATGATATTAGCAAAAAAAAAAAATAATTTTACAAAATTGGAATTCAGATTTCGTGTCTGTTTTTGAAACCTGGATTAGGAGTTTTAGTTATGTGCTGCCCATGGAAGAATTGAGATATGGGTTGGCAAACAAACAAAACATATTTTTTAAAATCTGAAATCCAATTAAAGGGCAACACTGCGGCTCAGTGGTTAGCCCTGCCGCCTCACAGCAAACAATCCCAGGTTCGAGTCCTGGTTGAGTCAAGTTGGCATTTCTGTGTGGAGTTTACAGAGCTGCAGCTGGATGGGCATCCGCTGTGTAAAACATTTGCTGGATAAATTGGTGGTTCGTTCTGCTGTGGCGATTCCTGATGGATCAAGAGACTAAGCCGAAGGAAAATGAATAAATGAACAATTTAAATCTAATTAGTCTTTATATAAGTGATGCTGACTTGTAACTCTTTATAGGGCGAACTGGTTTGGCATACGCCGAGTTGCGGATCCTACACACTTCTCTGTAAATTATTTATTTATTATATTTAAACTTTTTTAAATGCCTTCTTGATGATATTGCATTATATTGTGTCCAACACTGTGTATTGTGAAATGGCCTTTGTACTCTTTCTGTTCTAGTTAATGTTATTGTTTACTTTCTTTGCTAAAACCATTCAAACACTTTTAGCATATATATATATATATATATATATATATATATATATATATATATATATATATATATATATATATATATATATATATATATAT